ATTTATTTTTTGGTCAAATATCAATCAATGCCTTGTTTCTTTTTTCCGCCCTTCACGATAATGACAAACGAGAATTTATATGGGATATCGCTTGCAAGATTCACTACCAAAGAAAATCTCGTATAATTAAAATAGCTAAAACGAAACAAATTAGAGATTCCTTCATTAAAATCTGATACGACGTGTACGAGGAGACATTGGGGTAAAAAAATGCAATCTAGTATTACAAACAGATACGAACCGGAGTTTTCAATACTGCTATTATTTAATTATATATAATTCATTTTTATTTTTCATTGAAATTTTAATTACACATTTTATTGAAATATAATATAATCATTTATCAATGAAATAAACAACCAGTCATTTAATCTTGTTCTTAGAGTTTTTTATATAGATTTTTCTTATCATATTTGCTTATGCATATAATTATAGCACATGTTTGACTTGATATTGTTAACTACAATTGATTTTCATGATTAAACCACTTCTCATGCACCTATAATATTTTAAGGTATTCGGTTTGTCTATAAACTCTATCACCATGCAAAGTTTTATCAAAATCCTAGAAGAGTAAACCTGAGGTTCTCCTTGTTAGATGATAAATGCATTTTACGTATGCATATATTTGTTTTATTAACATTAATATTTTATGAATTTTATAAATATATACAAAAATAATGAAAATGTATAGTATAATAATTTTATGTAATTAATGGAATCAATAGATATACGCATAACCTAGAGGTTTACGGGTAAAAAAGTCGACTGGTAAGATCTCGAAAACGAGTATGGTGTTTTTTAAGAATACTATTTTAAAATAAATGACACAAAAGTGTAACTAGCAATCAAGTTAAATCGCGAAACATTGCATTTACGAGATAAATGACCATATTGTCATTAATGAAAGTATTTTGAAAAATATATACTTACAATACGTGAAAAAAATATTTATACTTTTGGGATCGTTCAAGTATTACGTAAGCAGATTTATTACAATTATTTACCCCCTCCCAACCTCCTTGTCGTCAAAAATAAGCAAAGCTCTCACCCCCTACCCCCATGCTTACGTAAACATTTTGCAATTAATGCAAAAAAATAAAAATACTACCTACGACGTAATCATCATCCAGACTCCCCTGCCCCCCATGTCAACCCAAAATAAGCAAATCAACAACCCTCCCGCCCCCCTATAGTGCCTACGTAATACTTGAACGGCCACTTTGTTGTAGTATTTTTTTGAATTACAATATTTAGGCAAACGATTTTGTCGATATAACAGAATATCTTATATTTTTAATTTTTTTAATTAAGGATAAAAATAAACAAAATATCTATATACCGTCTAAAGCACTAAATAATCAAATATTTTCTATGCAACATCCGTGCTATTCCTGGAACTCCACGAACCATAAATAAAATAACAAAACTTAATACGCAGAACAAGCTCATGATCCTGGTTATTTAGATACAAGCCCGAGCAAGCGATGTGACCCGCAGGTACACAGAATAATAACAAAAAAACTAAAAGTGCACAAGTGCACCTGTGTAAGTTCGATATCATGACGTAGTCCGGAAGAGTCGGAATCTGTAGCCCGTAGCTTGAATCTGGGAGTCGGTAGTTCGTAAACTGTAGCCAGGCTACGAGCACGTAGAACCTTCTATGAGTGTATGGGAATGCAGCGATGTCATATATCATGTGTGTTTTTACCTTGCGCCACCTAAGCATTGGTGTATGCAAAGGATAAATTTTATGTTTTTGCGCCTATCTTACAATGTTTAGAACAGATTTATATAACGTGTATAATAATTAACACCTACAATTAACCGTGTACTGTGTAGAAACATCTTACGTGCTAGATTGCATAAATATATGCCCCAATGTCCTTCGTATTGACGAAACATATAATTTTACATATTTATTTGTGCATATAAGTCACTTATTCAAATTTAAGATTTAAGACTTTGCGCGCCCTGGTATGTCTCAAACGAAACAATTCATCGAGACCTAAACATCAAATATGTACAGGAAGTTATCAAGGAGAGAAGTACGAAATATCATCAAAGGAGCGAATACCATCCAAACACTCTAATAAAAGACCTGCTAAAACAAGTTCTTATGAGAAGATTAAAAAGAAAGTGGCAGCAAGATTTAATAAATTAACAATTATAATGGTTAAATTTGATAATTATGTTGATTAAAACAAAATCATTTTCAAACAGGCATACTTCCTGATAATAGATATGGAACGAAAACTAAATTTTGTTACTAAAAATATTTTCAATACGCTTAGAGTCCCAATTTTACTCTACTTTAGTGGATGAAAGTACAAAAGATTATATAAAAAATGAAATTAACAATATTATAAAATATTGAATAAGAAGGTATACTATCGTAAAATAAAATGAAACGAAAAGTTACACAATCGAAAAACTATTTTACATGTACAGCTTGTTAGCTGTATTCATATTTATTCACAATATTTTTGATTATTATTTTATTATAAATTTAATATTTTTTATATTAATTTTCATCATTTTTTGTTGAGTTGAACACTAAAAAAAAGTCAAATTAAGACTCAAAACTTACGGAAATTGATTAAAAATATTTCTTAGAAACACTTGAATTTTCATTATCTGGATTACCTGTTAAAAAAGTATTTTATTTATATATATATATATATATATATATATATATATATATATACATCTGTCTGTGTGTGTTTGTTAATAAAAATTTTGGATACTAACTTATGGTTTCAGATATTCCATTCCAATTCCAGTTTTTCATTTATCTTTCCCAGACGCCACTGGCGTCAGTTGGCAACTAGGAGAATGCATCTAAAAAGCACGTCCTCTTCCACGCCAGTAAATATCCAATTCGGCCACTTCGCCTTTTGTGCAATTGTGATTGTTTGAAATTCCGATATTCTTAAAATCGACAAAGAAATCTTTCTCTTAAAATCGACGTAAACTTTTTTATTCCTAGCAAGTCGCCAAGGCGTTAATTTTATATTCCGTGATAAAGTGTGTGTCTTTTGGTATAATAAAAATTTTACGATTTGTTCGCATTGATTTATATTTTCTTAGAGGTTTTAAATTTTAGTGTTATAAAGTAGGAAATAATCATTATCGAATTGAATATTGAAATCTGATCTAATCTAATTAATTAAAATATATTAAAAGATTTCAATGTTCTATATAAGTACTTGCTGATTTTAATATTTATGTACATGCAAATATATGTGGATTCGAGCTTCAATCATTTTTCAGTAATAATTCTCTTACATTTTATATTTTTTATTTCTGATTTCATGCTTCAATGTAATATGCTTCGGCTCTCAAGTCTTTTATTTCATTTCTCGTGTATCTCGTACTATTCCGTTTAGTTCATTTAGTTTTTCTACGATGGTAAGTTTTCTACCGTGCAGCAAGTATTTTTCTCATCCTAGTTTTTTTACCCCTTTTCTAATATAGTGACTTATTTTCCAATGTAATTAATAGAAACTTGTTTTATTTCGTCATTTTTTCTGTTTTTGCACTTTAAACACCAAAGAACTGCATACAAAATAGTTTTTAGATAAAAGGACATAAGTAGTTAATGAAGACTTCTCTCGAAGGATTTATAATGAGTCTTGTTAATTAATTAATTATATATATACGAGTATATATATATATATATATATATATATATATATATATATATTTGCAACCTATATACTATAAAGCATTAGGGTATATATTTGGAGCACTCTTTTACACAGTATATTTTTCTATAATAAATATACAAAAAAATTTGTTTCGTGCCTGAAACCCTTTAAAATGTGTAAATATACATCACACGGAGACTTCTTGTCGACTAGCTCGTAAATAGTTTCAAAACGCAAATTCAATATGTTTCGCGGTGCAGGATCATTATTCATAATGATAGATTATTCTCGTACAAGGAATTGTGCGGGATTTATATGACACGTATATAGTTTGAATAAAGTTTTCATCGACATTATTGAGTCAACAAAAGTATTTGGTGAAGAAAATATCAAGGACATCGATGCATTGATAAAAATTTATTTTATTCAAAACTTAATTCAATTATTTTAAATCGGCTTTTATTGGACAGAATATTTACAATTTATGCACAACTTCTTATAAATAATAATTAATTGATACAATATTTACATCAAAGGTTTTCCAATATGCAAAAACGTCTGGCAGTTATCCTTCTCTATCGAATAATACGAAAGCTCACAAAGCTACGCTACTGTGTATGCTTTATGGAGCTTTGTGCTTTCGAAAGTAGCGAGGATTAAATTCATATTAGGATCTGAAGTGGCGCGTATGTGCATTATATGCATTGCAGAGGATCTCTGGAGGATCAATGGAGGTTCTGGGGAGGGCAGGTGGAGGGTATCACAGAGTAAACGTGCACTCTATAAATTTATTGCCGCATAAACATCGGAAAACTTGTTCAAGACGAAAATATATTATGTTTTCTTGTCGTTATGAGTTTCTCCACTAAGATCCGTGTTTCAATCTTGTAGCAAAGTCGTTTTTAATATAGTCTTTCATAAGTTGATATTAAGGTGACAAATCGCAAAATACAATCTATGCAAACCTGAGTTTGAAATTTATGGTTTTTGCTAACATTTTTATTTTGATCATTATTAATAAGAAGGTGAAACTACAATTATTGATAGATGAATATTAACAAATCTGTGGTTCTTAATAAATCTACCACAATACAACAATATTTGATAATGAAGTTAAAATTGTTCATAATTAATCTTCGCTTTTTGATCATACGCTTATGATTCTTGATGACTCTTTATGCAAGATTTTTTGTACTGAATTTGGTTTCTTATAACTATATTTCAAATGATATATTTCAGATAAGCATTTCCAGTAAAACAATTAAGTGGTATACTAAAACAATTTTTAATTTTTGTGTGAGCTATAACTCTTATATTTCATATTTAATTTTATAAAATTCATATATTTAGTTATTTTGTTTGTCTGAGCTTAGCCAATCTTTGATTCAATTCTTCTTGCTCCTGCGAAGCTTGTGTGGATGCACCCATTGCAGTTGAGCTTATTCCTTGAGGTAGTTCCATATTTAGTTCAAGGCCTGCCTCATCAGCTACTTGTTGCATAAGTTGGTCAACATCACCTTGAGGAACCGTGGTTGTTGTTGTGGTATGCATAGCATTTTCCATGTAACTAGTTTGTACATCCAAATCTTCGAATTGAGATTCAAATTTATCCATTAGATAAGAGATCTTTTCCAAATTCATACCCTTCATTGCTGCATCCATAGCTCTTACAACACCAGCCATAGAATGAGTAACCCTTCTAGTAGTTAAGGCAGTTTGGACTCGAACAGCAACGGCATCCACTCTGGCACTCATGCGAAGATAATTCAATGCTTGATTTTTTTGACGAATTGCATTCTCAGCATGTATTCTTGCTCCTTCCATATTGCCTTTTTGAATTGCTTTCTTTGTTTTTGCTTTTTCCGCGATTTCTTCTTTTTCACATCTTTTTGAGTTCCGCGCCAATTCTTTTACAGCAAATTTCAAATTGAAGAGATATTTTTCCATGACTGCGGCTGACATTGTGTTATCAGTTCTTAAAAACTGTATATCATTGGATCTACGAGATACCAAAATTTTTCAAAATAATTTTAATAACGTCGTATTATCTGTTTTACAAAATTTTGTAAAATTTGATTGCTATAGCGATGGCAGTAGTTATAATGCTTTTATTGTTTCTATTAATATTTGATTTTTTATTCACAATGTAACTACAAATATTTGACAGCTTGTTTACAGCATTATTAGTTTTGATGAATTCATTTGTTTAGGAAACTGATTAATTATGTACTTATTTAAAGATGTGAATTAAAAACTTCAATAGTGTGTTGCCTACCATTGGCACATCTAAGAATTAATTATAAAATAGAATAAAATACTTTTTGCAACTTTGTGGATCAAACATAAGCAAAAATCGGTCTAATATGTATGCGTATTTGTACATGTATGTACATAAATTAATTGATCATATATTTAAAGCGTACATTTAATCAAGACCAGCGATAAATCAGAAAATTCCGTCCTTGCCAACTCGGTCTGATAGCGATTGTTATCGCCTGCCTGATTGATGGCTCCCCATAAAAGCAGGCGGCGTTACCTTTTTTAATACATTTTAAATGCAGTGCAAAAAATAGCAGAGAAACATTAACCACTCACATCAGATAACGTAATCCCGGCATGAAACGAACGCGCAAAATATGTGAAATGACGTAGACCTTAGCACTGGACTTATCACCGGAAAATTCAAGACCGGAAAATTGTGAAAATATTCGGGTAGAGTAGTGTATTGAAGCAAATTGTTGCAAAATTAAGAATTTAAGGTCTTTCTATTGATGTATAATACTTTAAATGGTTTCTCTATGAAAATATCGAATAGTGTGAATAGTTGCTCAAACCTCATATGCATATTATTTTTATATAAAATAAAAATATATAAAATTTTAACTTACAAACAAATTTGGGTGTTTCATGTTTTGCGATATGAAAAATTAGCATATAAATATACTGCATATTAAATAAATATAATTTTCGACTATCACATCATCAAATGAACATTTTATATCTATATTTTTCTCCTATTTTGGCTTCAACAAAATCCAATGAATAAATTATCAGGAAGAATTTTATATTTTTTTATAAACCACACACGGATAATTACATTTGGGTGCGTAGAAAAACGAATATCAACGAATATTTTCAATAAAATATAAGTGTACGTATTGGACTTTCTGGGGTTTGAAGGATTTTAAACTAATACTAACAGTTTTGATGTTTTCATTAGCTTAAATTTAAATCATACGTTGTAATTAGTTTTGTCGGTCCGTGAAAGATCATTTAGGTAGAAAAATCTTGTGCACTATAAACTAACCTGTAACTTTATATTAGTGTTAGAATTTGTAATTATGGATAAAATCATTATTGTTATTCATTCATTCAAAACACTATGTTTACATGTTTGCAAATATGTCATTTATTTGAAGAGAGCGTAATAAGTACGAAAAAGTTGATACCTCCAAGGAATTTCGATTTGTATGGATATTTAAATAACTTGACAAAATTCTGGAAGTCCTTTTTATTCTCTTTGAAAGTCTACTGGAACTCTTATCGAACAACTGTTACAGCTTATAGATAAGAAAAAATCACTTGGGCTGCCTGTCGTGTGTCACTTTCCAAATAGCGATCCATGATGTCATTTCCTGACAAAACGCTTTCGAATATTTTTCGTATCCTCTTAGAGATTTTTGAATACATACTGAATTATCTGAATATATACAGGTTAAAAATGAAAAATACATTTAATATTTTTCTGGTTTCGTTGCTACTAAATATTGAATGAACTTTATCATCAAATATAATAGATACCGAAAGAAAAAAATATGAATTAATTTTTAAGTTCAGATCAATTGAACAAACTTACACTGACTTGTGAGTACTATTTATATTAGATTCGCTATTTGGTTGTCAGTACTTGGAAAAATGCTTTTATTTATATTTAGAAACATAAAATTATCATTCAAAAATACGAAGTTTATATTCATTCTTATTTACATATCTGTGCATTTCTAAATGGTATTATATCTGCTGTTCATATTGGCAATTAATTTGCTTTTAATGAAATAATTAGTAACAGCACATATGCTCAATTTGTCTTCCGGCGTATGTTTGATCAAGATGTTCTGTTCGAACTTCGTATGATTTGTGAGACTAAATGTAATTGTAGTAATATCATGTACTTGAACTAATACAATTGAAAGTTCAAGATAAATATTGAAGATTAATGTTCTAGATAACTAATATATCATCTTATATATGTTCTCTACTGAATCTTAAATATGCATATTTCACAAAGATACTATAATATTTCTTTAATTAACTTCCCGTAGGGTAAGTTATAGTAATCGCAAAAAAATCGAAAATGAAAATTTTTATATATCTTTACGTTTCAGAGGTTTCTGAATATTTTGGCATACCTTAGAAAAAATGTATGTATGTGTGTGTGTGCGTGTATGTATGTGTGTGCGGATACAAATTTTCGTCGACGATTTCGGGAACACAGATGAAGCAATTTGAATAATTTAAAAAACATTCGATTCGTATTGATAAGGAGACGTGCTAATTAGTTTTTGGCGGAGGTAGGTCTAGCCGTTCCGAAGATATGGGGCAAAAAGTGCCAAAAACGGTACCTCAGTTTTTAAGAGAACGGAGCGTCCTATTTTAATATGCCAAGATGAGCGTCCATTTTACTTGCCAAGATGACAAGATGAAGAATTGAAAAAGTAAAAAAAATGCCATTTGGCGGTCAAACATGATCATTAGACATATTCACATCAAATTCTCAGATATTTTATAGAGATTTTAACAATAAGTATAAATTTTGTTTACATTCCTATGGGTTCCGTACCAATGTTTACCCGTTAGACAGCGACGCGTTTTATATTTTGTCTCTATGCAGTTAAAGCAGTACGATTGCTTTGAAAGAAGTTCAGATCTTCCAACATATGTCAAAATAAAGAAACATGTTTTTCAAAAAAAAAAAAAATTAATTAGTAGTTTCTCAAAATTTTTTTTTCAAAAATGTTAATCGTTTTTAAAAAAATAATAATTTTTGGTACGGGAAGTTCCAGCAATTTGCCTTAAGGCACGATGCCCTAATTGCCTTAAGACAGAATTCCACTTACAGCTAGTTATAATAGACATTCTCATAAAAAGTGTTATTGATAACACAGGTCCACAAAAAAGGTGCTGTTTCGGGCGTAAAAATTGAGGATCAAGTAGCAAAAAAGTAAAAAACAAAAAAAAGACAGAATTTCCGAATAATTCTACTGCATTAAAATTCAAATCTTATATTTTCTATTGTTTTCTTGCCCTTTTTATCTTAAATGGCTATTGAGTTTCAATTAAATGATCTATTGAGTTTTTTGTCAAATTGCAGTAATTTGTTTTTTTAAATGTTATAGTAATTGAAAATGGTAATACAGTCGCCACTTTATAAACTTATATAAATCATTTTACGATATTGGGTTTTGTGCACCATTTGCCTGAAATGTCGTCGTTCTTATCCTAAAATATTAATAATTTTTGTTGGTTATTTTTCAAGGTTGGAACTTTTGTCATGTTCCTTTTCCTCCTAAATTGTTCGAAACATAGAAATATGAAAAAATGAAATTTTTAGAAATAGAAATTTAGAGAGCTTTTTCTGTGATACAGCATGTGATTTGTCGAGGTTAAAAGTGTATTATAAAATTAAAACTTTTACAAGTTCAGTTAACTTAAAGTGTTTTACGTAAACTAAACTTTAAACGTCATTTAAGTCATTAGAACTTATCGTAAAAACTATGTAAATATTTGTTTCATGTTTAATTTTTAATTATCGATAATTGTAAAAGTGTTCAGATCCATTGATAAAATAATAAAAATCTTTAGACGAAAGCAACACGAGTATGTTGATGTCATTTTCTATTGATGGCATCTAGGAATCGACTGTTTTATATACAAACCATATACTTTCCAAATAAAATGCTATGTGTTATTTATCCCTTATTCCTCCTTACCTGGATCGCTTCCGTGTAACTTCGACCTTCGCGTCACATTCCACTCCCTCGGGCGTCCGTCGCACAGTTCCGCCCGGGACTCGCTGCCTCGCGGCTAAGCCCCGCTCCGAACTGACGAGCTGAGATAAGTCCCCCGAGTGGACAAAACAACAAAACAATAGAACAATATTCCTCCTGCACACGATACAATTCCTGCACTACCAGACGACGCCGAAGACGCCGTGATTGTCGCCAATCACTCGTTCTGAAACCGGCACAGGCGGGAACACTTCGCGGTCCATTGTCACACAAAGCGCGGGAGATGATAAAACACACATGGGTAATGGATATAGTGTAAATTAAGTAAAACACTGTCGTTGATTGTTGATGTTTTGTATATCTATTTAGGGGTAATCATTTTTTTTTTTTTGTTAAAAAGCAACAGTTATTTTGGCAGTGTTAATTTTGATATTACTATAAGATAATATTCACAGCACAACAAGAGAACAAATGACTAATTGTACAAAGTCACTGACACAAAACAAGCATTAATAAAACTTAGTAATAAACATATGCAAGAAGTTTCCTACTAACACTTATCACACTTTTTGTTGATGTTAAATCTATTAAAATTGATTTATACCGGCGTCTTTAGGGATGTCTTAAGGTATCTTTTAACTGAAGATCATTTTGTATTTCGGATGTAGTTTTGCACGAATACCCGTGACCCGGCTCGCCCGGATAGACACTAGAACTCGGCAGCTCTCTCCATGCACTGTTTCGCTTTGCCTGGTACCTTATTCTGAACAGGCGCGCGCATTTCGCGAGCCGCTCTTTACGCGCGCACTCTCTCTCTGCTCTCTTGCTCTCTGTTCTCTGCTTTTTGTCTCTATGTACCATACACTTGTTTATTTGCCAATTGTACCCAATACTAATGAATGGCATGGATTTAATAATAAATAAAATACTGTTTTACATTCATCATGACGTTTG